CCCCCCAAAAGACCCACCGTCTCCTCGAAGGAGCACTTCATGAGGGGCCCGGTGTCCTGGCGGTTGACGCCGTGGCGGGTGATGGCCATGAGGTGCCCGCGGGAGGTCATGGTGTCGCAGAGCAGGGCCAGGTGCCGGTAGTTGACGTAGGAGCCGTCGAAGGAGATGACGTGGTAGAGCTCCCTCTCCAGAGCCTTGCGCACCGCCTCGATCCCCAACACCTGGCCAACGGGGGGGGACAACCCCCCATGTCCATCAAAACCCACCACCCATGGACCCAGGTGTCAAGGAACCTCATCGTCTTGAAGATTCAGAAGCTCTGGAGATACCACCAGCTGGGAACCCACCACCCATGGACCCAGGTGTCCATCAAACCCCATCCAGAAACCTCAAAGGTCCATCAAAACCCATCACCCATGGACCCAGGTGTCCAGGAACCTCACCATCTTGAAGATCCAGAAGCCCTGGAGATACCACCAGCTGGGAACCCACCACCCATGTATCACGGTGTCCATCAAAACCCACCACCCATGGACACAGGTGGCCAAGAACCCCACTGCCTTGAAGATCCAGAAGCTCTGGAGATACCACCAGCTGGGAACCCACCACCCACGGACCCAGGTGTCCATCAAACCCCATCCAGAAACCTCAAAGGTCCATCAAAACCCATCACCCATGGACCCAGGTGTCCAGGAACCTCACCATCTTGAAGATCCAGAAGCCCTGGAGATACCACCAGCTGGGAACCCACCACCCATGTATCACGGTGTCCATCAAAACCCACCACCCATGGACACAGGTGGCCAAGAACCCCACTGCCTTGAAGATCCAGAAGCTCTGGAGATACCACCAGCTGGGAACCCACCACCCACGGACCCAGGTGTCCATCAAACCCCATCCAGAAACCTCAAAGGTCCATCAAACCTCAAAACCCATGGGCCCAGGTGTCCAGAAACCCTGGAGACCCCCTCATGTCCATCAAAACCCACCACCCATGGACCCAGGTGTCCACGAACCCCACCATCTTGAAGATCCAGAAGCTCTGGAGATACCACCAGCTGGGAACCCACCACCCATGCACCCAGGTGTCCATCAAACCCCATCCAGAAACCTCAAGGGTCCATCAAACCCCACCATCCATGGACCCAGGTGTCCATCAAAACCCACCACCCATGGACACAGGTGTCCATCAAAACCCACCACCTTGAAGATCCAGAAGCCCTGGAGATACCACCAGCTGGGAACCCACCACCCATGGACCCAGGTGTCCATCAAACCCCATCCAGGAACCCCAAGGGTCCATCAAAACCCACCACCCATGGACCCAGGTGGCCAAGAACCCTGGAGGTCCTTCATGTCCCTCAAGACCCACCACCCGTGGACCCTGGGACTCACGGTGAAGATCTCCACGATGTCGTTGGAGGTGGTCCTGACGGGGTCCACGTCCTTCTCGCTCAAGACCCTCATGAGGCTGACGCCGTCGGTCTCCAGGATCCACTCCTGGAGGGCCTTGAACTCCCCGTCCTCCGTGATGATGATCTTCTTCTTGTTGTCCGTCTGAGGAAGGTGCATGTAGACCTGGGGGTGGGGGGA